CTCAGACACCCCTCCCAACCCGTCTCCACCTGATTCCTCCGCTGCCTCGGAGCTGTTCCCAGACGCTTCTCCTGACCACCCCGAGGAAGCCGGGCAGAGCGCTGAGCTACTGCGGCCTCTCAGCCCACAAAAAGAGTTGCCCAGAGCCCAGTCCCAGACTGCCCAGCGGTTGCCCAGGACCGCCCCTTCCCGGAGGCCTCAGCAGCTCCACCTGTTGTCTCCAGGCTGTGGCTCCGTCGAAGCTGCGGGGCGGAATACGGTACTGCAAAGGCAAGAGTAACTTCTGGGAGCTCACAGTTAGGCTGTTGGGCGCCGCCGTCTGCACCGTCGTTTAATTCTGGGCGGAGCTCTGACCTATAAATTCCCTTTCTGGCGGAATCTCCCGGATACTGCCGGGCCCTTCTGAGAATGTCTGGGCAGGTCGCTTTCGCCGTGCACCTGGCCTCTGCCGGTTAAGTGTTGGATTCTGTCTCCATCTTAGCACCTCGCACCAGCTTTTCCAGCGGGGAGAACAACCACGAGCTCACTTTTCAAAGATGCTGGCTCCCTCGTCATCAATATGCTTTTTTTCTGTTTGCTTACTTTTAACTAACCTTTTGCTGGGAAATGTAACACAACTATGTTCTTAAGAATAAAACAAGTATGATTGTTATGCCCTAACTCCATCTTGCTAAGGGCTTTCAACACTCCCCCTTTATGACAGGAAACTCAGATGAAAGAATTTAGTAATAATTGCAAAACCCCAGCTCCCTTTGTAAAGCACTCCCCTTACCAGGTGTTGGCTCTTACCATTCGGCTTGCATTGAGGTCTCCCCATTAACAAAAGTACCTTTTAAAAAACTAATGTACTCAGTACTGCTGTGAAACCAATTTATAATTACTCACACTTACATATGAAAAATGAAACACAACTATAGCCTAGGATGATGGAAGGAAGGGAAGGGAGTGGGGGTAAGTCGATAGAGGGAGGGTTAGTAGGGGGACCACACCTATGGGGCATATTGCAAGTACAAGTTGGCTCTATCAGGTGGAGAAGACAAATGTCTTAATGCTGTAATTGGGTAAATGAGGTGAAGGTTATGTTGATTAGTAGGATGTAAGCACTCCAATTTGTACAAATAATCAACACATTGAATCCCATAATGGCATAAATGTATTTATGATCTATGTACAATTGACTTAATAAAAAAAAAATAAAAGGTTTCCACACCTGCTTCTAGGGGTGGAGACTAAGGAGTGAGCTCGCTCTCCAAGGGCCATCAAAAAAGGACCTTTGCTTAATTTGGACTCTGTGTGGGCTATCTCTATTTCACTCGCTGAGGGTATACTATAAGTATAATAATTACAGAACGTTGAACAGACATGTCATCATTAGAGCTCAAATACATTCCTAAGGCAACCACTAGCCTGACATTTGTGACATTTCCTTGCTTTCCCTTAGTTTTTAACACATTGTGGAAATTTGATATATGAGAAAATGTGGTATCACACTTCAATGAAGAAAAGATGGTCTTGTCTTTTTTTTTTCTCCAGACAGAGTCTCACTATGTCACCCTCAATAGAGTGCCGTGGCGTTACAGCTCACAGCAACCTCCAACTCTTGGGCTTAAGCGATTCTCTTGCCTCAGCCTCCCAAGTAGCTGGGACTACAAGCACCCACCACAACACCTGGGTATTTTTTATCTTTTTTTGTTTAGAGACAGAGTCTCACTTTGTCACCTTCAGTAGAATGCCATGGCATCACAGCTCACAGCACCCTCCAACTCCTGGGCTTGGGCGATTCTCTTGCCTCAGCCTCCCGAATAGCTGGGACTACAGGTGCCCGCCACGACGACTGGCTATTTTTTGTTGCAGTTTGGCGGAGGCCGGGTTTGGACCCACCACCCTCAGTATATGGGGCTGGCGCCCTACTCATTGAACCACAGGCACTGCCCAGCCCAGCTATTTTTCTTGCTGTTGTTTAGCTGGCCTGGGCCGGGTTCTAACCCACCACCTTCAGTGTATATGGCTGGCGCCATAACCACTGTGCTATGGGCGCCAAGCCAGAAAAGATGGTCTTTTCAATGTAGGTTCTATGATAATAGTGGTATCCTTATTTAAAAATATAAGAAAAGGAACCTCTATCTCCCTTCATCACAAAAAACAGTTCTAGGTGGGTTGAAGAAGATCCAACTGTGAAATTCTAAACTGTAAAGCTTTTTGAATACAATATAGGAAATTATCTTTTGGACTTCAGAATAGGTAAATATTTTTAAATAAAAATAGACAAGCATAAAATTGAGAAAACTACAAAGGATGTTTTTTGTTTGTGTCACTCTGGACATTTTAAAGAGACTTGTGTGTTAGGTAATATTAACAATCAATTACAGATATCCTGAGTGTAATAATGATTTTGTGGTTATGTAAGAAAATGTCCTTTTTTTAAAGAAATATGGAAGTTGAGGAATAGCTTTTCAATCACGTGAGATACTAGAGGGCATGGCTGGATTGAGTCTGAAAAAGGTTTTTGCCTCCTATTCAATATAACTTGCCTTAGCCATGATGTAATTGCCAGTGCCAGGAACACCCCTACCCAATCCTTTCACACGTGGACAACTCTTCAAATGGCATTTGTGGGGGGGGGGGCAATGCCACTAAGTGGGATGAAGCAGAAGAGATTTGAGAAGCAATCATGCAATTTGTGAAGAACAAAAATATCTAAGACAAAAATACCATCTTCCCCAAAGCAAGGAAATATTGTTTGACACAAATGGCAACTAGTCTAAAATTAAATGTGCTGGCCTGGACCTGTAGCACAGTGGTTATGATGCCAGCCCCATACACCCAGCCCAGGCTTGCTAAACAACGACAACTACAACAATAACAAATAGCCATTGCGGTGGCTGCCTGTAGTCCCAGCTATTTGGGAAGCTGAGGCAAGAGAATCACTTAAGCCCAAGAGTCTGAGGTTGCTGGAGCTGTGAAGCCATGACACTCTACCAAGGGTGACATAGTGAGACCTTGTCTCAAAAAAAAAAAAAAAAGTAAGACAGCTTCATCAGACAGCTCCAGCCTAGGAAGTCAAGGACTAGAGTAATTGGTAGAAAAGTGTCTCCTTCTCCAGCTAAAACTGGTAGTCTTGGCTACTGCTCAAAAAGATGTAGGTTCCTCCATGCTCCAGGGGTGGCAAATGCTATTTCTGGGGGTACTTCTGCCCTGACACTTCTGGGCCATGTTATTGAGACAAACTGATAGTGCTTGGATGGTTGACAGGGTTTTGGTCTAGGAGATGCTTTAGCTTTAGATATGGCACCTAAAGCTCCATATCTTGCCTGTGGGAAAATATATTGGCCCAACCTCTATCAGTGTCAATTTGCTAATATCTATCACACAAATGCACATGTCCTCCCGCACAGAAATTCCAGTTCTAGGAACTTACCCTACATATTCACTTGCAAGAGTAAAATGAAAACATGTAAGAATATTCATTAAATATTGTACAAACAAAAGACTGAAGATTAAATTTATCTATAGTAAAGAGGATCTAGGGCAGCACCTGTGGTTCAGTGGGCAGGGCACCAGCCCCACATATCAAGGGTGGCGGGTTCAAACCCGGTCCCAGTCAAACTGCAACAAAAAAATAGCCAGATGTTGTGGCAGGCACTGTAATCCCAGCTACTTGGAAAGCTGAGGCAAGAGAATCGCCTAAGCCCAGGAGTTGGAGGTTGCTGTGAGCCGGGATGCACAGCACTCTACTGAGGGCGGTAAAGTGAGACTCTGCTTCTTAAAAAAAAAAAAAGAAGGGCTCTGAATAAAGTACATTTGTACCATGGAACATTGTGCAGGTATAAAAAGTAGTGAGTGAGTAGACACTTTACATAGTAAATATTAAATAATAAAAATAACATGCAGAAGTTTGTATAAGTGGCTATTTCTGCTTAGAAAGGTAAACTGTATTTGTAGTCTTTTGGCTGTAAATAGAAAAATCTGGACAGGTGCACAAAAAATGGGTAATGAAAATATTGCCTCTGGGTAGGAGACTTTGGTGGTGGTGGGAAATGTAGGAAAAGAGCCTTTTCACTACACACCATTCCTTGTGCCTTCTGAGCTCTATACCATGTAAAAGCTTTCACCATTTGGCTTAGTGAGGTGGCTCATGCCTGTAGTCCTAGCACCCTGGGAGGCCAAAGTGGGAGAATCTCTTGAGCTCAGAAGTTAGAGACCAGCCTAAGCAAGAGTGAGACCCCATCTATACTAAAAATGAAAAACTTTGCCCAAAGAAGAAAAAGAAGAAAAAAAAAAGCTTTCACCATTAAAAGAATAAAATGTAAATTTGAAAAATAGAGGTGGATATATATATATATATTTTTTTTTTTTTTTGGTAGAGACAGAGTCTCATTTTATTGCCCTCAGTAGTGTGTCACACAGCTTACAGCAACCTCCAACTCCTGGGCTTAGGCAATTCTCTTGCCTCAGCCTTCTGAGTAGCTGACTACTGGCGCCCACCACAACACCCAGCCTTTTTTTGTTGTTGCAATTTGGCCAGGGCTGGGTTTGAAACCTCCACCCTTGGTATATGGGACCAGTGCCCTACCCACTGAGCCACAGGTGCCGCCCGAGGTGGTAATATTTTAAACAGTAGTTCTCAAATGCTTATCTGTGTATCAGTGAATATGCATTTTTAACCCATTGTGAAATCAGAAAAAATTTTGTTGTAAATAAAATGCTAAATACAATTAATTTGAAGGACAAGATTTTCATTTTTTTATTTTTGAGATAAGAGTCTCATTCTATCACCCCAACTAGAGTGTAGTGGTGTCATCATAGCTCACTGCAACCTCAAACTCTTGGGTTCAAGCAATCGTCCTGCCTCAGCCTCCTAAGTAGCTGGGACTACAGGCATATATTACCATGCCCAGCTAATTTTTTTCTATTTATTGTAGAGACAGAGTCTTGCTCTTGCTCAGACTGGTCTTGAACTCCTGAGTTCATGATCCTCCTGCTTTGATCTCCCAGTATGCTAGGATTATAGGCGTCAGCCACCATGCCCAGTCCAGATTTTATTCTTAAGTACTTTGTATGGAAATGTTAGTAAACATAGTTATCAAGGTTTATTTATACAATGGGCAAAATTTAGAGTTGTAATCATTACATCAATTCCTTAAATTTACTTGCATCTTGAAATTTTAAAACATAGAATCACTGATTTAGAGTTGGCTTTTGTTCTCATGTCAAATACCCCTTTTTACACATTATTTCGGAAGGCATTCCTTCTGTGTATTTCATGGTGTCGACTAAGTGATGAATTATAGCTGAAGGCTTTTCCACATTCATTACATTCATAAGGTTTTTCTCCAGTGTGATGTCTCTGATGTTTTTTAAAGGATGAATCATGCCTGTAGGCTTTTCCACAGCGGTTACATTCATATGCCTTCACTCCTGTATGAACAGTTTTATGGTTGCTCAGGTGTATCCTCTGCCTAAAGGCCTTCCCACATTCTTTACATTTGTAGGGTCTTTCCCCAGTATGGATTCTCTGGTGATGTGTGAGATATGCCCTATGACTAAAGGTTTTACAACATGCAGTGCATGCATAAGGCTTCTCCCCAGTATGAATTCTTATATGTTCACTAAGGTGTCTAATCTGCCGAAAGGTTTTCCCACATTCATTGCAAGTAAAAGGTTTCTCTCCAGAATGAGTCCTCAAATGTTGAACCAAGCTAATGTTCTGGCTGAAAGCTTTCTGACACTTATCACATACGTAGGGTTTCTCCCCAGTGTGAGTTCTATGATGCTGATTAAGCGATGAGCGATGTCTGAAGGTTTTGCCACACTCCTCACATTCAAAGGGTTTCTCCCCAGTATGGATTCTCTGGTGTGTACTAAGAGATGCACTTTGACTAAAGGCCCTTCCACATTCTTTACATCTGAAAGGTTTCTCACCAGTATGAATTCTCATGTGTTCAGTAAGGTGAATGGGTTGTTTGAAGATTTTTTCACATATATTACATTCATAGGTTTTGGGTCTTATATAACTTGTTGGATGATTAGTCAAATCTAGTTTGTATTTGTTCCTTTTTCTAGTTGTATCACATTTATGATGCCTCTGTTCTATTAGAACATTTGAACTCATAATGATATTTTCTCCAAATTTGTTAGTTTTTTGGCCTCTTTTCTTATGGGTCAAGATGGTTTGTCTCACATCTCTCACACAGGATTCCTGGTGCATTTCTAACGTATCATCATATTGAGAGACTTTTCTCAATGTGGAATAAATGATATCATCTTTCATGACCTTTTCCATCAAAATGCCATGATATAACTGTTCCTCCGAAATGGAATTCTTTGCAGTTGACTCATTGGTTTCTGTTTTACTCTTCAAGCCTGAAAGAAATGGAAAAACTGCAAATAATTCACGCTCATTATGCCTTGAAAAATCAATTGCCATAATGGTTACAGAACAGCGAGTTAGACAACAACACAAGTAAGTACATGAGATTTTGACTGTATTTAAATACGGCTATGTAGTCTGGAGTGGTAATGGGAAATGAAATTAAGAAAACAGTGAATAGGTTAAGTGTCATTTTATATATGTAGTAAAAATTTAATCCTACTCTTTCTATAATAGTAATACTCATAACATTTCAAGCTATGTCTTATGAATGTTAAGTACTTTTTAATCAATGACTACTTTTGGAAAAAACTCTCAGAAAGATAGAAAGATATCTCTCTCTACCCCAGCAGCACCAGGAGAGTCAAACAATAGGATTGAACTAAGAACAAAGAACTCTCTTTTATTGGAAATTATATTTGTGTGTGTACAATTTTGTCTTCATTAATATATCCATGGAACTGTTACTTACACAAGGAGACTTGTAAGAAACCCAGACTGCTATGTTGCTACTACTGCTAAGTTTTAACCTTTAAAATTCTGCTGGCCAGGCATGGTGGCTCATGCCTATAATCCTAGCACTTTGAGAAGCCAAAGTGGGTAGATTATCTGAGCTCAGGAGTTTAAGACCAGCCTGTGCAAGATCGAGACCCTGTCTCTTCTAAAAATAGACAATCTAGTTGGGCAGAGGGGCACATGCCTGTAATCTCAGTTACTCAGGAGGCTTAGCCAAGTAGATTGCCCAAGAGTTTGAGGTTGCTGTGAGCTATGATGCCACAGCACTCTACCCAAGGTGACAGTGTGAGACTCTGTCAGAAAGAAAGGAAAGAAAGAGAAGAAATAAAAGGGAGGGAGGGAGGGAAGAAGGAAATTCTGCTATGTTGCTACCATGCTAGGTTTTAACCTTTAAAAGTCTAACTGATTTTCTTACTTGATAATTTGTTGCTTCATTACTAATATTTCAACCAGCACAAAAAGTTCATTACCACTTCCAAATTCCAAATGCTAATGAAGAAAAGCAATACTATCTAATGATGTCTATGCTCCACAGGCCCAGTTCTGGTCCTGAACAGGGAAGGAGGAAGAGATGACGACACAGAAAAGGAAAGGAAGCCATCTACCCTTCCCCAGCTCAGTATTCAAGCCTGAGGTAGGTTCAAGCCAGTGATGGAAGCCGATGAGGAATAATGGGGGATTTAACTGCAGGTGAACTTGGGAGTTTTTCTTATTGCACTGAACTAAATAAACATTTTACTAAAATCAAGACTGTTCTTATAATTTAAAGGGATTAGGGCTTGGCGCCCGTATCTCAGTGGGGAAGGCGCTGGCCACAGGCACCAGGGCTGGTGGGTTTGAACCTGGTCCAGGCCTGTGAAACAACAATGACAACAACAACAACAAAAAAATGTAGCCGGGAGCTGTAGCAGGCACCTGTAGTCTAGGCTACTCGGGAGGTTGAGGCAAGAGAATCACTTAAGCCCTAGAGTTTAAGGTTGCTGTGAGCTGTGATACCATGGCACTCTACCTAGAGTGACATAGGGAGACTCTGTCTCAAAAAAAATTAATAATAATAGTAAAGGCATCAGACCATCTATGGGATCTCTCCAGGATTTCATCCAAAGACAGGACAAGAACAGTTACAGTAAATTCTTTATTTTTAAATTTTGTTAAAGAGACAGAATCTTACTATGTTGCTGGGCTAGATGCAATCTCCTGGGCTCAAGTAATCCTCCTGCCTTGATCCCTCCAGTAGCTGGGACTATAGGCACATGCCACTGCACCTGGTTATGACAGCTTTTATTATTATTATTTTCATTATTATAAATTTAAGAAGAGAAAACCCAAGAAAATGTACAATTATTGGAATTACTAACAAAATGAAACAAGACAGCTGCCTATAAAAATCAATATTTAAAATCAATTTTGTTATTACACATGAGCAACAAACAGAAAACATAATTTTAAAAAAACAGACCTATTCATGACTAGGGATGGAAAAAAGAAAAAAATATCACCTATAACAACAACAAAATATAAGATTATACAGGCTGAATCTAACAAAAGATATTCAGTATCTATAAGTTATTTACGTAGAAAATCCTGAAATACTACTAAAAAATTACAAGATATCAATAAATGGAGCAATGTATCATATTCGTGGGTAGTTGACTCAATATAACAATGTTAACTCTTCCCAAAATTGATCTATAAATTCAGCTCTATTCCAATCAAAATGCCAACAGAGTTATTTGTGTGTGTGTGATGTGTTACACTGATTATATAATCCATACAGAAAACCAAGGAGCTAAAAATTTTCTGAAGATTTTAAAGAACAAGGTGGGTGAGCTACCAGATAGTAAATATCATTCTGAAATATAGTAATTAAGGTAGCTTGGCATTACAGTAGGGATGGAAAAATAAGAGAATAAAAAAGAATAGATAGAGCCCAGAAACAGACTCAAACACATAAAGAAACTCGACAGGTGACAGAGTGGCATTAACCACTCCTGTACTTATTATCCACGTGGAAAAATTAAACTAGATTTTCACCTCATACTACATACAAAATAAATTCCGGGTGAACTGAGCCTAAATATGAAAAGCAAAACTTTGAAAATATAGGTTCTGAATACACAGTAGAACCTCCATAATTAACTACCTCACTTGACCACCTCCTTAAGTTGACCTAATTTTCACAGGCCAGACATGCACTACAGTATGTATTTATACAGTAGGCCCAGTTGCTTATGTTGACCACTTCAGTATGTTGACTAGTTTGTTACAGTCCCTTGGGTGGCCAATTTACAGAGGTTCTACAGTATATGGAAACCATCCACACACACACATCTCATATAAATGATAAGATAAAAGATAGCCTCTCTTCTCTGGCTTCTATGGAGAGACCAGGTACTTCGGACTGCTTAGGAGAAAAGGAGCTTTTGATTGGCAGACCTAACGATACTGGAGACAGAGGGAAAGGTAAGGCATGCCTGTAGTCCCAGCTACTCAGCCGGCTGAGGCAGGAGGATCCCTTGAGCTACCCATGAGTTTGAGGCTATAGTGCACAATGATTGCACCTATGAAAAGCCACTGTGCTCCAGCCTGGGCAACACAGTGAATCTTGTTTAATTAACAAAGAAATGGGCTCGGCGCCTATAGCTCAACCGGCTAAGGCGCCAGCCA